TTTTTTTTTTATAGTTCAATTTATAATTTCTTTTTTCAATTGAATTACTCAGATGAAGAAGAGGAAGATGAGCAGGCTTTTCAAACTGACACGCTTCTCACACCTGGACCTTCGTCTTCTTCACACGTGGTATATACTCGGAGGAGGGGGTCTAGACCGCGCAAACCTACACAACCATTCACTCCTTCCTAGTTAGTTGTGTTGAATGTGTTGATTTTGTGTTTATTTTGAATTGTTGGATTGTATGTATAAACCGAATTATATCGTTTTGTATATATTGTTTGTTCAGCAAATTATTGTGTTTCATTTGTTTGTTCGAAGAATTATGGTATGATGGATTTGGTTGTGAGCAGGTATATTTTTTTGTTGTAAACAGGTGTATTTTTTGGTTGTAAACAGGTGCATTTGATAGTGAACAGGATTTTATATATTTTTAATACAGAAAACGTATTTCTTAAATACGTTTTCTATTCTATTCTTTTTAATTCAAAAACGTATTTCGTAAATACGTTTTCTGTTGACATTAAAATTAGGGCAAATATAATCAATTTGGGGCAAAATTACACAGGAAAACGTATTTAGTAAATACGTTTTATGTTCCAAATTTTTTTCCCCAAATTAAATTATTTTCACGAAATGAAAAAATTGATTTTATTTATAAAACGTATTTTTTAAATACGGTTTATAATTACAAAAATAAAATTAAATTAATTTTAACATAAAAACGTATTTCTTTAATAAGTTTAATAATTTTGAAATATAAGACGTATTTAGGAAATACGTTTTTCTACAGTTTAATTATGTTAATTATGTTAATTACGTTATTTAACTTTCGTAATATTTGTTTATTGAGAACGTATTCACTTAATACGTTTTATAATGAAAACCGTATTTGCTGAATACGGTTTACAATAAAAAACGTATTTAGTAAATACGGGCTTTCTATTTTGGTCGACTTGATTTTTTTTTCTTTTTTTTTTGTCCACTTCANAAATCAGTTTTAAAAAAAATGTAAATAAAATCCCAAAATTAATGAAGGCAGAACAAACAAGATGGCTATCGTTTTCTTCTCCAAATCTCGATCTTGCTTCGAGCCATCTTCCCCATCTCTCTCATTTCCAAAATTATAATGGTGAAGGCAATTAATTTTATCGATTATAATGGCTTTTCAATCTTTGTACTTTTTCATTAGCTTCAATCGAATCTTTTCTTTATTTTCGTAAAAATTGATCAGTTAAAACTCTTGAGCCACAATTAAACTCGTGAACGAAAAATCCGCTACCCGCTCGCCACCTACCTCGCCCTGCTCGCCACCTACCTCGCCCTGCTCGCCGTCCGCCACCTACCTTGCCCTGCTCGCCGTCCGTCACAAGCGGTCCTAACGTCATCATCGTCGACGCCTTCCGTTGGGCCGCACCCCGCACGCAGCCACTTTCCCTGTAGCCTTCTTCTCCACCTTCGCCCGACCGACGGCTTCTCTGTGCGGATTATTGTTGACAAAGAAGGTAAACCGAAGAAATTTGAAGCATAAACTGTGTCACTGGATTTCATAATTTAGTTGAGATTTCCAAACATTTTTAAAATAGTTTTATTTGTTAATTGTTAATTAATAATTAGTCGCTTCTTTTTGATATGTGGATTCTCCTGGAGCATGATAAATCATATATGTTCACATGTTCTTTTATAGCTTTAAGATGATATGTGGATTTTATATGTTCAGGTGTTCTTTTATAGCCTTTTTCTTTTTTTTTTTCCCCCTTCATTTTTTCTGTAGTTTCCATATTCATTTACATTCAAAGTGATAATGAATGGGTCAAGATTTAGATTTTAAAGCTTAGCGTTCATAAAGTCCACACCTTAGTAGTGTTAGTATGTGTGTAGCAGTGTAGTAATTCTGGCAGAGTAAAACATTTCCCTGTTCTTGAATTCCCATTACTAAAAAAAAAAACAACTACAACAAATACACAAGCATAGATAGTATTAAGCACCTGAAGATGGATATTTGGATAGAACCTCAGATTCAGCTTTTTTTTTTCTAGTGAAGTAACTCAGTGAGAGTAGAAATGATGGCAGTCTAATTCTTCAGAGTGCTTATTTTATTTTATAAATTGTAATTTTTTTTTTTTAATAAAAAGGATGTTGGAATATAATCTTTGTTAAGTCATTATCTTTTGTAAGCGTGATAAGTTCTCTATTAGATGTACTTGTTTTTAGCTCTGTCGAGAGAGGTTGTAATATTCTATAAATTGTAATTTTATTATATTTTCTTTATAAAAAGAATGTAATGGTGGATCGTTGTGGGTATTAATTAAAGTGTATTATTTTATTTCTAAGAAAAAAAAGACAAAGTACTTGGGGCATTATTATTATATTTGGCCCAGGGTCTAATAATATTCAGGACCGGCTCTGCCGGCGTCAATATTGGCAATACAGTTCGGTGTCACTGTGTCGCTAATAGCTGGTCGGAATCCTAACTCCTCTTTGGCGAAGCAGCCTTCCACCAAGCACAGACGCGTGACCTCCACCGCAACGTGAGACAACTTGCATTTTCCCGGTCATTCCTTGGATCTGATAAGACCAAACAATGGGGCTTCTCAGCATAATCCGGAAGATCAAGCGAAAGGAGAAGGAGATGCGCATTCTCATGGTGTAATGACTTCTGGGACAATTCCTTTGCTTTTCTTATCATTTCACCTTTATATACATATATATATATATATATATATATATATATTTCTATTGAAAACATAGGCTTATACTGTCTGCATCTATTGATGTACTTTTTTCTTCCGGTTATCTGTGAAGGGGTCTTGATAATTCGGGAAAGACAACAATAGTGATGAAGATAAATGGTGAAGATACGAGTGTGATTAGCCCCACGCTTGGTTTTAACATCAAAACCATCGCTTACCAAAAGTAGGTTTTCATTTCTTATGTATGAAGATTGGGGAAGTGGGACAAAATGACTGTAGTTCGTTCTTGGTATTTCATGCAATTATGAATGAAAGCGGCATTATTGGTAGGTATACTTTGAACATATGGGATGTTGGAGGACAGAAAACCATAAGGTCGTATTGGAGGAACTATTTCGAGCAAACAGATGGGCTGATTTGGGTGGTGGATAGTTCAGATCTTAGAAGACTGGATGATTGCAAATATGAGCTAGATAATCTTCTCAAAGAAGAGGTACAATTCAAAATCTTTTCTTTTTTGTCCCTTTTGTAACAATTTTATGTCTGTACATCATTTTTGTCAAAATGTGATAGAAGCCGTTTTGTGTAGTTCATTGACTTTTCTGGTGATGTTTTCATGAATGCCATGGGTTGAAGTGCTGGTTCTGGAGTTTTTTAATGCTTCTTAACTTTTTATTTCACTAGGGAACTTGTGAGGCCTTTGAATTGTATTTAAATCTTGATTTTGTTTGTCTGTGAAGATGATAATACTACTGCATTTTTTAATGGGAAATGTTGCATTATGTAGTCCTTTTTGTAATCACTTCACCGCTGCACAATTGCTTGTGCTTTCAAGTTTAATATGCTACTTCAGGATACATCTTAACTAGTTCAAATAAATGATATTTTTTTTTTTTTGTGCTTTCATCTGTGGAGTTGTTTCCTTTGAGGGTTTAATATAAATATGCATTGAAGCTTGAAAGCATTCATTGGCACTGGCCACAATTTGTTCCTTTTTAGCAATCAGGACTTAGAACGTCTACGTTCATTAGAATTGAAAGGACTAATATGTTCTAAGACGAGAATGTAATAATGATTCAGCTTGCCTAGAAAAAGTTTTTGACATTCCCTTTCAAAGAATATGTTCTAAGATGAGAATATAATAATGATTCAGCTTGCCGAGAAAAAGTTTTCGACATTCCCTTTCTAATTTTTTGCACGTATCTTTAACCTTGGTTTTATTATTTCATCCAGAGGCTATCAGGAGCGTCATTGTTGATTTTTGCAAATAAACAGGACATACAAGGTTCTCTCTCGCCTGATGACATTGCCAAGGTAATGACAAGTTCTTTGATTTCTTGAGTTTAAGTGGTCATTCTTTTGAAATGAGGTCCTTCTTGTAAAACATTAAGATTTGGGGTTGCTTTTCTTACACTATTTTGGAGGAATGTCTCTTAGCTTAGGTTCTTTGTCCATTGCAAATGGAGCTGGAGTCATTGTTGACAATTCTCCTGGTATAGTGCTAATAATGGACTAGATCAAAATGGCTCAATTAAATTCTAGTGCTTCTTCTATTAGTGAAGTTTTTAGTGAAGTTTCTAGAAAAAAAAAAATATCAAACGGCGCAATGCACCTTGGGTCGCTACGGAAACAACCTCCTTGTATAATTACAAGGGTAAGGTCTGCGTACAACTGACCCCCCAGACCCCAACCTGTTGGGAATATACTGGGTATGTTGTTGTTGTTGTTGTTGTTGTCTCTTAGCTTAGGTTCTCACTTGACACACACTACCAGTGGATGTACATATGCAAACCTGAGGGGTTATTTACATAAGTTACTCCTGAGTTTCAGTTCAATTAAATTAAATTTATTTCTCAAATAAAATAGTTTCAAAACTCAATCATGATTTATATTAAATTTTATATATTTATTTGTTGTGTTTTAAGTTTTGAAAAAAAAAAAATTAAATAAATCTAAGGCACATGATGAAACTATGTGATTCCTATGGTTAATCCCATGGATTTGAATTTTGTAATCCTCGTTGGAACTCATTCCTACCTCTAATACCAATCATGGTTCTCAAAATGTGTAAGGCCAATGGTATCACCCACAGTTTTAAATCCCGGACCGGTAATTGACCCGGGCTAGACTTCGGGTAACTGGGTCACCGGTCCAACCGTCAGGTCACTGGGTCGATTGCTGAGTTGGTAATTAATTTTATAAATTTTTGACTTATATTTATATTTATTTCATCTTATAACTATACATAAAATAATCAAAAAAAATATTTATGTGTAAATTTTATGCCCCCAAGTCTCAATAATATTGTGTTTTATCATAAATATTTACCACATAAATATATATATATATATACATATTTTTATTTTTTAAAATAAAAAAGGTAAAAAGCAAAAAATGAAATAAGTATTTAATGGCTGGGTCAAACTGAGACCCGGCTGGGTCAATGCCGGTGATCGGTCTTGGGTCAACCGGGTCCCAGATCAACCTGCCGGGTCGGGCCTCGTTTCAAAACACTAGTATCTCCATGCCATTCCATCATATCAATCTTGTCATAAGTTATGAGGATGTTTGTAATTCTTGTCATAAGGGATGTTTGTAATTATGAAAGATTACAACATTTTTGTGATTAGGCTAAAACCTCTTAAGAGCATCTCTAATCTCGCATACTGTTGAAGGAAAAAAAATGCCATGTCATTATTAAAGACAATGTGTTCGTATTTATATCTCCAATGGACTCTGTCATGTTCCAATTTTTTGTGACGTTGCATGACTACTGTAGAGCGCACCATTTGAAGGCAAACGACAGTAAACGTGTCAAAATTTGTTGAATTGTGAAGAATGTAATTACAATTTTATATTTTAAAAACGAAACTATTTAAAAATTTGTATTTACTTGATACATAAAACTAACACAATTTTTAAAAGTTAAACAATTTTTATTTACTTGATACATAAATATAACACTGAATGTAATTACAATTCCCATATTTAAAATTAAATATTTTGTATTTACTTTATCATTTTTTTACCGTAATTAATTCCAAAATTTATTCCTAAAATTTATTTTATATATAGTTTTGTGAAGATGAAAGATACTTCTTTTTTTTCTTTTTAATTAAAAAATTTGATTTTCCTACTCTTATAATTTATTTAGTTTTGGGAAAATGAAAACTACTTTTTCTTTTTTACCAAAAAAAATAAACATAGTTAAATAATTAAAATCTCAAAGCTTGAGTCTCAATATGTTTTATCCAATAATCTGGTTAATCTTGTATAAGTTGCTTTATCATTTTTGTTTTCTAGAAAACAAATAAATGTACACATACAAATGACGTGAAGGAAAGCACAACATTGGATATAGTTTTACATTGTTATATTCTACGATGTCAACAATGATGTTATAAAAAATCACAATCCAATTAATTACTGCCACGTGGCATGAAAATTTTAATATTGACACTCATACACATACACTAGAGATGCTCTAAGGTAGGCTTTGGTGCTTGACCATAAATTTTTTTGGTAGTAGTAGAATTAGATTTAGTCATGTGACAAATTTGATTGTCATATGCTGTCCCAATTTTTATCGGGAGGGCGTGGAAGGAGCTGATTTGATTAAAATGACGGTATCTGGTTTTCTAAACAATTCTGTAACTCAAATTAAATTTTATGTTTTCTATATCAGGTACTCAACTTGGAAGGCATGGATAAGAGCCGACACTGGAAAATTGTTGGATGCAGCGCCTATACTGGGGATGGACTGCTTGAGGGGTTTGATTGGTTGGTTCAAGACATTGCCTCACGAATTTACATGCTTGATTAAAATATGTATTGTACTCTGATCTGAGCTGTAATCCTCCATTGATGACATCTTTTTCGACATGTTTTTCGTTTAGTTGACTATTGTCTAATCGAGCTACCTGCATGGTCAAAATACTCTGATAAATTCATTTTTTTTTTTTTTTTTGGNTTTTTTTTTTTTTTTTTGGGCAAAATTGCCCAGACTGGCCCATCATTTGCATTTTTCCATGGTCGATAAGGTAGTTCTCAAAGTTGGCTCAACTCTTGTGCTAAGCATTCATATACTCGTGATGTTTGTCCATTAAGTGGCTTTCTGGTGTGGTTGCGTCGTTGTAAAATCTTCTACACCTGTTAGACCTAATTTGTCAAATATCTGCAATCTTTTTCCCATTTTATTATATGGCTTCCCATCTTGTTACAATCCAGAGTTCCTGCTTCTATGTATATTAGGTATGGTACTTTCACATTTTATCTTTTGTATCTTTAGCATTTGTGTAAGTAAAGTCTGCTAGAAAACAAGTAGCACTTCTAGTTATTTTGGACAAAGTATGAATACTTCTCATGTAACACATTTTATTCACTTTCATTCATTCAACCCTAATACACAAAATTAAGAGAACGGTAAGGTAGACAGGTAGTTCATTTTTTTCCATTTCCCGCGTGACAAGATTGTAGATGAAAATTAAAAAAAAAAATATTGTGAAAATGATTAAAAATGGTGAGTGACCAACAAATATTTAATTGTGCAGCCAGCTGGAATCGTGCAGAGTGACAGCCACTAATATTTAATTGTTCAAGTTGCCATCTGCAACAAGAAGATAGGAAGTTGCGTTTTTACAGTTTATCCCAACAGGAAAACTATATAGTTTCACTTTGTTTCCTTCAGAGTTCCATAGAATATGAAGCCTGTAGCCAAAGGCTCACAGTTAGACGCTAGAGATGACGAAAGTCGCAACCCATATTATGCGAATATTCAGCCCATCTGAGCTTTTCGGCATATTATACTGTTGGTGGTCACATGGAACATAACATCAGCTGCTACATTTATTTATAAAAAACTTTCTGGACCTAAACGTGGAATTGTACAACATAATTAGCAGAATTTGAAAGGTCTGTCTAACCAGTAGACTCGCTAACATCTTGCATGACCACACGCGCAGCATTACGTCCTGGGGCACCCATAACCCCGCCACCTGGATGAGCTCCACTTCCACACAGATATAGGCCTTTTAATGGTGTCCTGTAGTTTGACCTACATCAATGGAAAGATAATATAACATTATCATTAATTTTGAACTTCTTTTTCCAGTCAATAACAACAAGACCCTCCCTCAACCTGGAAAATGAAAAAATTACCATCCGTTCACAGGCCGCAAGAGAAACAAGGAGTCTAATCTCATAGCACCATGAAAGATATTACCTCCTGTCAGAGTCGGGAATAGCGGATATCAGTATTATATGTTCAGTGGTCTTTACAGTTGGAATAACTTAGCATCAAACCTAGTATAAGTGCAGCAAGTTGAAGTAACAGAAGAAAAGGAAAAGGTCAATATTCTAAATGATATATCATGAAATCAAGATGCATACTTAAAAAATTACTGGTTTTATAACTACAAGGCAATAGACACAGTGCTGACTCACAAATTCAGAACAACATCTAGAATGTTCATGTGGAAATTAGAACCTGCTGAAGCAACTACTTATACATATAGCCGTATAACGCTAATTCTGGAAGAACAGCAAATTTACCTGTTAAACCAAATTCTTTTTCAAGGTCTGGTGGAGTCAACATGTCATAGCCAATAATCGATGAATTAAAGCCCGGGGCGTATTCTTCAATAAGATCAAAGCATCTTTGAGCAAATGATTTCTGTGCCACAATTTCAGCATTCAGAAACATTTAACCAGCACATGTGCGCATGCACAGAGAGAGAGAGAGAGAATCCACGCACTCTGTATTCAGGATCTTCCCAGCTTCCTTCATTAGGTTTATAAGGTGTGTACTGAATAAATAGATTAATCACATGCTTCCCTGTGCAGAACACTCGAGTAATTTATTTGCCAAAGCAGGTAAGGATAACATAAAAAATCAACTCCTTGAAGTAGCAAATGGAGATCGGTTAATGCTGCTATTACTAGCGATCTGGCGAAAACAGTCTAAACAACTTCATCGTGAAGTCCATGTCCTTTCAGCAGTTACAAAAAGCAGAACCAATAAACACCAATATAGATTTATTAACAGTTCGCTTTGAAAACAAAAAAAAAAAAAAAAATCTATTCTTTCCAAACACCACTCAAAAGCATTCTCAATCACCATATTGCACAAAACAGTGTTATCAAATGATGGTATGGCGTGGCCGATTTTTACAATCCGCCATGCTAAATTTGTGAAGGATGGTGGTTATGGCGGCACCAGAGGCCGCTATGGCGGACTTTTGGCTAACCGCCATCCGCCGTTAATAACACTGGCACAAAAATTGATGAATGGTAGCTGGATGAAAAGAAGTAACCAAAAAAGTGAAAACAAAGCTATTGTCCTAGGAAAACGAATATATGAAAGACGTAAGAACATTCTAGTACCAGGTGGAGAAATAGTATTATCCAGTGCAGAAGGAATTGTCATCTCAATTATAGGCCTTCGAGATGGCATTGCATTCAAATAATCCCGACATGCAGAGTCGATCTCCTCCATACTGATTTGAGTCGGAGCGAAAGAAAAAAAAATTCAAATACTGGTTATAAGTTATGTTTGTCTCACATTAGTTAGTTACTGGGCTGTTATGTTTACAAGTGTGGGGCCCTTAGAGCTAGCTTTCGGGAATGAGTTTTATACAAGCCCATTTATCGATACTCAACTAACAAAAAAAAAAAAAAGCAAAGAATTATTGGATACATGTTTCTTCTAAAGTAGTGTAATTGAAAAGCCAGAGGAACAGAGGCATGAAGTATTGATTTCACACACTCCATCCCAAAAATCTTTCATGACTTTTAGTTGCTGTCACATGTAAAAAAATGTGTGGATAAACAATTTACTAATGAAGAATTTCACAATAACTGTTCTGACCTAGGAGGTCATTTTCACACAGTTTCGGAATAACGGGGGTTGTAAGCCCAACTTACCAAAATGGAACTCGAATACATTTAAGAGCTTGAGACATATCAGATGCTATGTTTCTCCAGACAGTGATCTTTAATATCAATTCGGTTCATAAACACATCAGCTTTCGGGTTTCAGAAGCAATGGCAATTTGTAATTTTAGTAGATAAACCAACCAATGTCCACCCTTATCCAGTAGGCTGCTTTAGCTGAAGGGTCGTCAATAAGATGTTATGTACACCTACTGAACATTTATGTGGTACATATTGGGTATTTATTTTGACTAGCTTTACCACGAAAAATGAATTAGATTGACTACATGAGTTTTGACTGAATAGCTTGGGGGGTAATTTGACCGACTTTACCCAGAAATAAATAATGAGTTTAACTATATGCAAACAACTTGAAACAGCAGCAGATATAAATTCATTGAGAAATACCGCTCACAGCCAATATGAATAGTGCCCATATGCTGAGGACCGGCCCCAGAGCCATTCAACTTGCAGCAATGAAACTGTGGCAATTTGTCAACCGCCAGATTAATTTTGGTAGTGGCCTGCCCAGTAAGTAATGACTTGTTGAATTTTTGGTTGAGCTTTGCAACCAAAGTTGCATATAAACCGTTTTAAGAAACTGATAAAATGATTTGAAGAGGGGCAAAAGCAAAGTTTTAGAAAACAAACTTGCATATAATGGAACTACCTTTTGGACTGTGTCATAAAAATTTTGAATTATTGATGTTGATAAAATTTCTATATTACAAGACAATGACGCTTCTTAATATTGTCAATGTGCATGGTCATCAATTTTATAAGGTAGCAGACATATAGATGATTACTAATCACTGGACCAGCTTACAGAGCTGTAATCAGAGTTCTTGATAGCACCAAGAAAACCGTCGGGAAGCACATCATGTGGTACGAAATCCTGTGTTAGTAAATGATTATCCTCAGTATTCAAAACCATACATATGCTTGCATTTGATATCCTATTTTTAAAATCTCCTATATAATATATTCATGTCTGATCATATGCAGAATAACAGAGTTGGCACTTACCACGAACGTTTTGTATGGGGTTGCATTTGATAAAACAACAGAAGAGCATACTTTGGTACCATCAGCCAGCAAAACCTAAACAATTCAATCCATGTGCCAAATATCTAAGTTGGGGTTTTTAATCGTAATAGTCGACCAAAATTTCAATTAGAACAACCTTACCCCAGAGACTCTGCCCGAATCCTCTATCATCAATTTGGATACCTACCGTGCACAACAGAAAACTTTTTAGATCTAATAATAGAATTCTTAACACAACATAACTATAACATATTTCATTTGTCCGATTTCTCCTAATAATGCAAAGGTCAAGTGGAGTAGACACTTGTGTATTTCAAAGGAAACAACATAAAGATAAATCGGGTATCTGATATCTGATACACACAGAGACATGCAGGCTTATCATGATCAATCCCCATAAACTTACTTCAGCTTCAGTTATTATAGCAGCACCAGCTTCTCTAGCAGCATTAGATATGGCCAAGGACACAGATCCCATTCCACCCTCAACATACCTGAAAATTGTTACTTAAAACTAAGCGAAGACTGAATCCACACAGCTAACAGCAAGGATAATAGTGCATTTTCTTTCTTTTATTTCCACTCAAGTCAACAGCATGAATGTATAAGAAAAAGGTCTAATTATTCAGGACTCAAGCCTGCCTATCATTCGAGATCAACTAATAGTTGTCAGACAGGTGATGATTTCTGCTAGTAGAATTCCCTGGCCTTCCTGAACAAACAGACAAGTGGACAACAATAATAAACCTTAACATATGACCACAAACAGAAGCCAAGGAAAGTTCATGTATTGACACTAATTACTAGCACCCTCAGTAGGCTTTAACCAGCTATAAAGAAATACTCACGACCAAATTCCACGTTCACCATCAGTTTCTCCCATCATGTGATGCAGCAAAACATATCCACCACCAGGTGTATTGATACTTCCCTGGGACACAATACAAGAGATACATAGTTCAACATAAGACACTTCACATAATAAATTTTCCGCATATCTAATTACATTATTGCACATTTGAAACATAAAAAGATGTGTGTTTCTAAATTGGGAGAGGGAAAATGGTTGTGTATGGAACGAATAAGGGTGGTCTTGGAAGCATGCCATGGTTTGGTGGAGTAGTGGTAAAATGCAAGTATAATGAAAACCACAAGAGAAAAGGAAGTATATCTGCATATCTCAGTTTATAGTAGGCATCCATCTTTCAATTGGGGCAAAGTATATCTTTGAAAGAGTTGCTAAACCATTCAATGAGAATATCACGGTTCAATTTACTAGAGAAGAACAGATAATCCTTAATCAGATAATATTTTCAAAAGAAGCATATATCCGCTGAATCTACTGCACAGTGAATAGGTAAAAGATAACACTCACTGTGGTCCCTATAACTGCATCTGTTGCCAGTGTCGCTTTTAGAACATCAGCCTAAATAGAAATTATAGAAGAGAAACACGAAGTAGTCCATGAGAAAAGTAACAAATCTGTAAATTTCTTAACTACTATATTATACAAAAATAAAAGTTCCCTTTAAAACACAAGAAATATATAGACTGCCTAACAGGTATGGCACTGTTATCTGCACATAAGTTGAAAAGACTACAAACATTCTAGAGGAGCAAAGAAGAACAAGAAGAAAACAGTAATATCCAAGGACAGTAGAGGTTATAACTTAGTTATCTTGGCCCAGGATGATTAGTTTAAGAAACTATAAATAAAATGAACTTCTGAAAAACAGCTCCAAGAAAGGGTTATGCAGCAAACCAGCATACTCACATACCATCTTAACCTTAACCTCAGCTCTTAATCAACAACTACCATATTCAAGACTAATGCATGATCATTGATTCAAGAAGAGTCTTTCCATTTCTCACAAATTTCGCCATGCAGTAATCAGTGTAGTTCAATGTGGTTACTCTGAATTTGGGACAACCTCGTCTAGTGCTGTTATGTTTTGTGTGTGTGCGCATGTACGCGTGGATCACAGTAATATAAATGAGTCAACAAAAAATAGAAGATGAGATTAGATAAAAGTCTATTACATGTTAGAGCTCTTGCAAATGATATGATGTAACTAAACATAATAATATCCTACAGAGAAAAAATTCGGATTACCTCAAACCAGTTGTTTAAAACTTTTGATGCAGGGGACAACAAAAGGTTCACAAATTCCCTGAAAGATCAACATATGTGAGGAAAGTTCGTATACTGAAAAGAAGTTAGAATATTGCAACACTAGTCACAACACAATGCAGGAATCTAGCTGGTTTAAAATAAGAAAAAAAAAAAAAAAAAAAAAAAAAAAAAAAAAAAAAAAGAGTGACATCCCACAGAAGATCATTTTGCCCCATGGAAGCCGCACGCCTTAGTAAGTGCGCCCAAAAGATAGACTTTTGCAGATTATCCTTCATACGAGCATTAAATGGTGAACCTTCTTGCAACTTTTCAGGAGGAGATGAATCCAAAAGTGGATCCATGAACCCACAGAACTTCTCCAAAAGGTTCTCATACCTACAATATGTACATCGATTTCAGAAATATAATTGAGAGGGTTAATTGAAACCCTTATTGGCCTAACATTTTACAGAAGCAATTGGGGAAAAAAAAAAGTTGTTTGCATAAGTTGCAGTAAGATAACAACATATTAGAACCATGATTATATATCCACCCTATCACCGGTGTCAATGAAGTGACACATAATGTAACATTCGAACACTGTAAAGACACTGGAGGATTAAATCATACAACATACGTTTGGTCACTCTTAACTATTCAGGTTTTACATTCTGAAAATCCTATTTTTGTTAACCGCTATTAACAACAGCAATCATTCCATTTTGGAATCTGAAGCAGTTAATCAGCATTCTAGCCTACTTGCCCTGCTCCTCATAGCAATTTGCAGTGCTTCCCTAATGGCTAAGCATTGCATCTCCCGATAATCATTTTTCCCATAGAAGGTTATGCCAAACAGCATGATGAATGGAATTCAAATCAAATCCACATAATTGAATGCAAATGCCTGGATAATAAAACCAGATTAATTCCCTAACAGCAAGTCACGCTGGTGATGTGTGATGATATCAAAATGTTACTCTATGATAATACTCTGTACATCGACATATATCAACGCCTCTTGGGCCTCCTTTGGAATTAGTCTCTAACTCATCATAGTCAGCTCAATAGCAACTTCTTAATCCTCTTCCTCCTTATGCAATTTCTTAAGCCAATAAGCGAAAAACAAGGGAACGGGCGAAAGGGAAAAAAACAGGGTGCACCTCGGGTAAGCCTCAGCATCGTGTTTGGAGAACTTCGAAATCTCAGAATAGTTGAGCTCTTTATCAGAACCAAGAAGAAGATAACGTCCATCCAGGCATGGCGTGAAAGAAGATGGGCTCCTTTTCAACAGCTTTAGTCCATGCCTCGCTAGCTCCAGTTCCCTTGTTTCACCACCATAAAGCATATTCAATCATTAAAATG